CCTCCACTACGTTTTGCAGTGTGGACCAACGTAGTGGGGGTACATTTTTCCATGAGACTGGGTTGCTGGAGACCCCTCATGACCCCGCTTGGGTTAAGCGTGATGGAAAATGGATGGATGGATGGATGGATGGATGGATGGATGGATGGATGGATGGATGGATGGATGGATGGATGGATGGATGGATGGATGGATAATCCATTGATTACTCAGATTGATACATTATATTTCAGGAATGCAAGATTTTAAAGTAAAATAAAACAAAAACATACTCTTATTTTTTGTTGTGTTTTCCTTTCAAAACAAGTTTTATCACTGTGATATATATTTTTGTTGTTTAATTTCAATTTAAATCAGTTGGAAACCTTTGGGCTAAAATGACGGTGGTTAAATCCTCTCCAGTCAGCCTGCACACTGGTATGGATCTAACTAATTTCAATCAGAAGGTCTTAACAGCCCATAGTCTCTATACAGATTGTTTAACTAAATATTATTCATTTTCATTGAATTAAAACATTTCTGAGAAATTTGAACATTTAAAAAATTATTTTGACAGTGAAAAACATAAAATGTTTTAATTAAGGATGGGCAATTTGACTTAAAAAAGAACCCTCAGCTGTTTTCTTGCCAAATCTGATTAATTGATCTTTTAACTTCTTTCAGTTTAATCATAACAAATAATAGAAATTACTTACATGCCAAATGTTTGAAGCTAGTTGTTTGACACAGATATTTAGTTAATCAGTTTTAAATAAACATTTTGGAACAAAAATTAAATGAAATCTACAATCTGACCTCCCTCTGCAAAATGTAAGCTCCCAATAATTTTTATTATTATTTAAATTTTATTATTTGATCATATTAGATTGATCTATTTTCTGTAATACTAGAGTCCATGGGAACTACATCAATGTATGTAGGCTTCATATTTACTCATAGAAATAACTTGATAAAGGCCGCAAACATACTGCCCACAGTCTTTCTCAATGTCTTAAAATGTCAGATTTTTGGAAAGTAAACAAAACAAAAACCATGATAAATTGTTTTCTATTAATTTTCAAATATCCTGCACAATTTAACTGAAAAACATATAGATCTGTACCTATATCCTATCCTATTTTCCTCCTAAATCTAAATCATTCCAATATTAGCATTTAGTCTTAGTGGGGTTAACACTATGGCCATGTTCAAACGTCCGCCCTGACTCCTAAATCCCTCAATCACTTTATAGAGCGGTGATGTTATAGTGAACTTAGTTAACTGACCGTTCAGACAGATGATCACTACTCTCTCAGCTTTTCTTTTCATCCCTGTTAAAAACTTTTTCATGTTGGGGGTTGTTATGTTGAATAAGAAGGCTATAGACAGAACGCAGTCGGATCTTTCTGTTGACTCAACACTGCCAACCAAGGAAAACCTGTTGTCTTGTAAGTCGTAAATGTTGCACTGTCGCAAATGTAACAGAAGTAACAATGAGAGCGCCAATGCCACCTACTGTAGTGGATGCGCAATTACACTTTATACTAGTACCGCCAAAAAAAAAGCATGTTCCCCAGGGTCACACGCGCCCCCCCCATTGTGCCTCCTTTGGGGGGGTGTGAGTCAAATGTGTTGCACGAGGAGAAAATCAGTCCGAGGGCAGAGACTCTTTTGAGAGCACAGCCGACCCCAAATGTGGCTGCTGGATAGAAAATTGTGCGTGTGGTGAGATCCCGAGTACGATCCCGAGCGCTTGTGGGAGTAGCTGGCGTGCGCAGAGAGCTTTTTTTCTCCTCTCGAAGCAGAAGCTTCTCTCGCATGTGTGATTTTGTTGTGTGGTAGCTAAACCAAGCACAGAAGTAGTTTAACATACATTGGATTAGTTTTATTGTGCTTGTGAGTGTTTGAAATACTAAAAATGAACTTTTTTTAAATGGACATTTTAGCAGTGATGTGATTTTGATTGATTTGGCACAATAAAATGGGCACTTTAAGATGAATTATAAACATACCACAACTAGTTATATTGTAGTTAGTTTACAGGTAATAAAAAAAATGCAAAGGCAAATGCTTTCTAAATGAGGACGTGATACAATAAAATGCTTCAGTAACTGTAGGAATGGATGTTTTTTTCTGGTGGTTTTTTATATTCAATTAAACAACAGAAAGAAGCAAACAATGTCCGACCACCAGAGGGAGCTCTTATATAGCAATTCACTATACATCATTTTATCAGTAACATAATCATTATTATTATGTTCTTTAAACATTTCTTCAAAAGTGCAATTATTTATGAACAAACAGAAATGAATCCCTTTATTACTGATTAGTTCAGTTTAGGTGAGGACCAGCATGACCATCGACAGGAACTAACTGTGACACCACTACATATCTGAATCAGTACCAGTTGGTGAATCATTTCACAGCTAAAGTTTTCTGTGTCCTAAAATTCTGCACAAACTGAGAGCTGCTTCACCAATTAGTGCTGTGCTGGAGGTGGCGCTATAGGACTCACTCTATACACTAATGATCTGTATGAACTGGACCGTTGGGTGGAAAAATGTATAATTTTGATTAACTTTTTCTAGGGACTCAGAACACTAGAAGAACTGAAGTTCCATCAGTAATATTGAAGTCCCTCCTCTCTCAGTGATGATAGTATAATTATTTTCAAAATCCAGGAAAAGAGAGTCTACATAAACTCTAGTATTACTGATGGTTGCTCAATTTCATTTTTTTGTTCTTTTAGCATTGATTGTTTTTCTCACCTGCATTTTTAGCTGGATTGAAGTTAGCCGGTAGTCCTGCCAGTTCGTTTGGATCAGAATGAGCTGCACCATAGTCAGATAAATCACAGATGACATGTTTTCCATCGTTCTCCCTCAGAATCTGTCTGCAGCGCACAAACAGCTCCTGGAGATCAAGGTTCTTCTGCAGCACATATCTGTATCTGCACAACTTGATCATTTGTTTCAAAGGTGGATGGTCCAACCAGGCTTCAGCATAATTCTCTTTTTTTGGTGTTGATATCAGCACTAGTGAGTGTTCAAATGATCGATCTCCACAGTTTTCAAGGACTGTTTTTAGTCTTTCTTTCTGAAGCTCAGTGAAATCTTCAGGCTGTAGAACCAACAGGAAGACATGAGGTCCAGGATCAGACAGTCTCACACACTGTTCTACATGTTCTGCTACTTTATCCTCAGAGACGTTCAGGTGCAGCAGATCTGGGGTGTTTATAAGAACTGTTGGTTTCCACATGGTGCGTCCCCTGACTTTCACACAGCAGTCTGGTACCTCTGTGAACACAGTCCCTCCCAGTATGATGTTTCCCACCTGATTTCTCTGACACGGGTTGTTCCCAAGTAGAACCAGTCGAAGCTCAGACACTGAGGGGAAAACACAAAGACAAGAGAGCAGAACAAAGATTTAATTATAATTCGTTTTCAATTTGCAGAGTCATTCGACCCGGGAAGACACACTTCAATGAGCTGTTCCCACTGCAGCTAAAAGCAGATTGTTCCCGGGTTCGAACTGGTTTTTCCACCAGTGGGAAAGTAGTAGTAACCTCTGTACCACTCTGTCTTAAAGTTCTGTAATCAATAGTTGCAGCAGAAAGGAACACATCAGGCTAAAGAGAAGCTTAAACCTTCCTTTCACTGGAATATATCTCCGCCTGATGTCAGCTGCAGACACATTAGCAAAAATGGCTTTGAAAATACTTCAAAAGTAACTCCTCCCCTCATGTTTGTTTTTGTGAAACAGCCCAAACCACAGTCCATCACCTGCATTAATCTATACATTCCTTTATCATAGTGCAAAACAAGTGCTGATCCAAAGCAGGTCCATCTTGCCAGGTGTGCAGAATGTGCAGAATTTAGCAGAGTGTAAAGACGTGCTATTTTTCCTTGCTCAATCATCCTGGCTATGAGCGATCCAAATCAAGTGTGATGTGGAGAGAATAGAACTCTAGGGGGGCCATAAGAGCTCAGTGTCTAATTAGCTGCAGCATTGGATTTTCTATTTTCAAAAGAACAAAACAAAAAACTGCAAGTCCTCTATTATACAGTATAAGGTTAACAACAATTTGTATCCAATGCAACTATGCTTATATTGCATCAGAGAAAAAAAAGTTGTTTTTTTCCTGACTCAAATCCAACCAGCACCCAACCATTATGCGTAACATAGGGGTAAAGATCTTTACCCTGAGTCATGCAATTTTCACTCCAAAAAAACAAAGTAAATCTTTCAATCACTTAATTTGTTTTCTGGTCTGTTCCATAACCTCTAATCTGCAGGGTAACCTATTCAGATGAGCTGTGTGTTTAAATATCTGCTGTGAATGAATCAGTGGATGCCTGTCATGTGTGACTGTCAGTGTATTTCTATGTTAGATCACATATGAAAAGTAAAATAAATCAATTCTATACTTAGACAAAAACTCTTACCTTCCCTGTCTAGGGGGTCATTGTTAGCACCTTAACAAGCAAAAACACTCATATTCGAATTTCCCCTGAAACTCATGATGATCACATGATGTGTGACATAGTTTGTCCTTGCTCACAGTAATAATGTGATTGGGCAGCTCAAAATACTAATCAGTGACACATTGGCTTCAAAAAGTTTGATGGTGTGTTAAGCCTACTAACTTAACTTAACATCAGTACCAATACTCCACCTGAAGATTGAAAAAAGGCTGTAACTTCTGAACTGCTTTTACTTGGCAGAAATTGGCAAAGTTCTACTTTTTACCTTCAAACACAAAGTTAACTTAGCTTATGTTAAATATGGAAGTTATGTCCCCCTGAAGTTGGCTGCGCCTCGGAACTTCACTTCCGGTTCTTTTCATGGGAACAAGTTATTTACCACTCTTAACTCAAACTGGGTAAAACCATATAAAAAAGGACTATAAAACTGGAGTAAAAAAGTTACAGTGTTTATTCCAGGTCAGGTCGTTACAGGACAGAGAAATGATTTGGAGTTGGGACAGCTGTGGGCTAAAAAACACGTCCGCGAGCGTCCGGCAAAGATTGAGCCCAGAACAAGGTCATCTCCTCCTTCTTTTACCTCATGAGTCCATGTTTTGCATCAGGTGGATGCTTAGCTGTCCGTATCAGAAACTGACATGCCATCCATGCCCTGACCTTTATGCATCTTGCCTCTTTATCCCAGGATTACACATAGCTCTCCTCTATCAGTCCGGCTCCAAGATGTGCCCATATGTGTATTTTTAAAGACACCAAGGCTGTCCTGATTAGATGACCTCCGTACAGACAGAGACATCCACCATGTGAAGGAAGGCCTTCTACTCTGTCTAATCTGGCTAACAAAGTAACACTGCACATGATGTATAAAGAATAAACCTAACACTTATGATATGTGTTTAATGCCCCTATTTCCCCCAGCACCACTTGGCCTGGCTCTACCATGACTTCTTCTTTCAGTTTTTTTCATCCCTAATGCCCTCTGATTTTACCTATTCTTCAGCAGGAATACATATGATCAGATACAGTTATAGTACCCAACTACACTGTTAATTGAGCTAATTACACTTAGGTGCAAAATTGAACCCAGCTGTAATTAGCTGGTATCTCAATGATCAATTATTGTTCCTGATGGAAAAATACACAGCATCTTTTCCAACATCTACATATTGGACAGAGTTAGCTAGTATCAGAAGGTGCCTTCATTTACTGGTGGAGGCTCTACAGGAAGGTGGACTGATACAAGCTGGACTTCATCAGAAGAAGTTCAGGGACCAGACTC